GGCTGCAAAGATTTTAAAGTTTTTAATTTAAAAGTGTATAGTAATGGTAAGGCTTGAAACAATTCATAAAGAAATGGCAGTTCAAAAAAGTCAAGAATTTTGCACATCAAAGAATGCTTTGGAACTTTGAAAAAATCCTGTAGCGTCCTTTAATAAGGGTAGAGACTGGCTGGCAGATGGCATTCAATTCTCTGCAAAGCTTGGATTGTCGCGCTGCCAACACTTCCACCTAAAAATAAATTATTTTTCTATTTTTAAATGTTCTTCTCTCCTTTTCATATTTTAGCTATGTAGGTACAAGATCCAAAAAATTTTAAGATATACTTCTGTTAATTATTTAATTATGCTCTGACATATCGTCTTAATTGTATCATCGCCAGGGCTGGCGTCAGCTTTCTGTTCATTTACGAAAATCTCGTTATGCAGTTGTTCTCTCTCGCTCTCGGTTTTCGCATTTCTTCAATGCTTAGTCGATTTGTACGTGTTGCAATTTATACGTTATTTTATATTTGCAAAAAAAATTTGAATTTTTTTCAATGATAAAGATAATAACAAAATAGTTGCTGTCATTAAGGTGTACATATACATATGCTCTATAGCATGTCTCATATGTTCTGTAGCATTTTTCATAACATGGCGGGGTTTTTTTCAAGAAAAGTAACTAGTAGCTTTTCCATTTTATTTGTGATGTTGTCACTTAAATGCCCAGCTACGAGCATGAGCTACAGGTTTTGAAAAGTTGTGCTGATTTTAAATCTATTTATACAAACTGGCAATCATAAATAATAATAATAACACAATTCGCTGTTGAAGATGGTCAAACAGGCGTAAATAAACTTACTTCGTATGAATTTACGCTTATTAGTACGCTCTAATTTGGCTTGAATAAACCTTGTTACTTATCGATCCTAAATCAAAGCCTATCGGAAATATTATTACAAGTCTTGCTGACTATGTCGTGCCAAATATAAGCTTAAAGCGGTTTATTTTTATACAAGTAAATTCGCAAAGTAGCAAGACTGATCCATTGCACGAAGGTACGACTAGGAAACTTTAAGTTGACCAGTAAATATTTTCCAACTTAAAGCGAAGAGAACTCAGTGCTCCAGGCCTTTGAAATTAAAGTCTAATACTAGGTGGGCCTTAGATACTGATTTTTCTGCCTTGTATATTTGCTAAATAATTCTCTGAAAAAAAATTAAGAAGTTTTTTTCTTTTTAATGAAAGTAGCTT